CCCTGAAGGCATTTTTGAGAGCTTTGTCACTACCCTGCTCATCACAGGCCCAGAATTCCAGGGCCTTGGGGACTGAATAATTTCAAGGCTCTGCTCTCAACATTCTGATGTGGTACTCCTTGGCAAGCCCACTTGTGGTTCAAATGGGCCCAGGGTTGACTTGGGCCACCCCTTTGCAAGGCATAGGTGGCAAACCATTGTGGTGTCCATACAGCATCATTTCCACAGGCAGGCAAAGTGCACAAGCTGTAGAGGCATGGCTACCTTCACTTAGATTTCAAAGGATACCCTGGAGATCCTTGGGGAATGGACAGAGGATTACCACAGGGTCACAGTCACCACAGTACCGCCACTAAAGCCATGCCCAGCAAAACCATGGGGTCAGGGACATCAAAGAGAGTCCCAACTATGGTAATACCTGGTGGAGCCATGGAGGTAGGGCTACACTTGAAACCTCACACTTGTAGAGCCACCAGCATGTAACTATAGCCTGCGAGAGCAGCAGGCAGACAACCTCAACACATTAGAGCTTCCATATGGGCTGGACCCAGCAAATACATGATAGTGGTGCCTATTGGACACTTGAGGACCTTATCTCAGCCTAAGTCTGTCTGGAAGGTGAGACATTAAGTCAAAGAAGATTATTTTCAAGCTTTGAAATGTAATGTTGTTTGCCCTGTTGGGTTTTGAGCTTGATCAGAACCTGTCATTCTTTTCTTTTTTCCTATTTCTCTCTTTTGGAATTGGAACGTCTGTCCTATGCCTGTCCCTCTGTGTTTTGGAGGCACATAACTTGCTTGATTTCACAAATTTGCAGTTAGAAAGCCATTTGCCTAATTTGGTACCTTAAGTCTCACTCATATCCAATTTAGATGATATTGAGATGATACTCTGGACGTTACATTTTCAGTTGATGCTAAAATAAGTTAAGACTTACAGAGTTATTGGGATGTAATAAATATATTTTTATATGAGAAGAAAATAAATTTGGTGGGTCAGGTGCAGAATGTTATAGTCTAAATGTGTCCCCCCACAAAGTTTATATTTTGAAACCTAATTCCCAATAGTATTCACAGGTTGGGTCTTTGGGAGGTGATTAGATCTGCCCTCATGAATGGGATTAGCACCCTTATAGAAGAGGCCTGATAGAGCTTCTTCACTTCGTTTTCATGTAAGGACAAAGGTGCCATCTTCAAAGCAGAGAGTGAGATCTGACAAGACATTGAATCGACCGGTGCGTGGATCTTGAACTTCCCAGCCTTCAGAACAGTGAGTAATACATGCCTGCATTCTTAAATAAATTATCAAATGTAAGTTATTTTGTTATAGCAGCCTAAGTGAACTTAGACAGAAGGCAATTAGTTCATGACAGTGTAGCCCTCATGAATGAGATTTGTGCTCTTACAAGAAGAGAGAGGAGCACCTGCTCTTAGTTTTTCTGTTCTTCACTATGTAGATACAATGAGAAGATTGCAATTTGCAAATAAGAAAATAGTTTATTCTTAGACATAAGATCTACAGACACTTTGATCTTAAACTTCCCAGCCTACAGAATTGTGAGAAAAAAATGTCCATGGTTTAATCTGCCCAGTCTATGTTATATTTTTTATAGCAGAGCAAACTGAATAAGACAATCTCTGTCTGATTTTGGCATCAGGGTAACATTAGCCTAAAAGAATGAGTTGGGTTGTGTTGCATCCTCTTTTATTTTACCAAAAGTTTCTTTTATTTTTTTTTAAGTTGAGTTAGTCCTTCATTTGCTACAATTCACCAATAAAGCCATCCAGGCCTGGGTTGCTCTTTGTGGAAAATATGTTTATTAATAACTCAGTGTCTTTACTTATTAAAGAATATAGTCAGATTTTCCATTTCTTCTTGAATAAGTCTCTATAGTTCTTGTCTTTATATAAAAATTTCCACTTCATCAAGTTACCTAATTTTTTTTTTTTTTTTGCAATACGGTTGTTCATAATATTTTCTTTAATTACTCTTCTTTCTGTAAGATTGGTGGTAACGTCACTTCTTTCTTTCCTGATTTTATTAATTTGAGTACTCTGTCTTTTTTCTTGGTCAGTCTCGTTAAATGTTTGTCAAGATTGTTTACTTGTTCAAAAAAAAAAAACTTTTAGTTTTATTGTTTCTTTCTACTACCTTCCTATTCTCTATTTGATTTATTTCTTTTTAAACCTTTATTGTGTACTTTCTCCGGCTTCCTTTGGGTTTAGTTCATTTTTTTCTATTTTCTTAATGTAGAAGTTTACATTATTAATTTGAAATAATTCTTTCTTGATGTAGGCATTACAACTATAAATTTCCTCAGCTGTGTGTTGAATTTTTTCCCTTCAAAAAGATATTTTGAAGTCATAAACCTTAATGCCTTTAAATTTCATCTTAATTTGGAAATAAGTAATTTTCAGATTTCATGAAGATTAATTCATTTAGGATGCCTTCATTCAATATGACTAGTTTACTTATAAAATAATGATGACATATGCAGAATGAAAATGATATGAAGGCATATAGAGAAAATGCCACGTGAAGATAGATGAGAATTTTGTGTCTGCAAGCCAAAAAATGCCAAAGACTTCCAGCTAACCACCAGAAGCTAGGAAGAGGCAGGAAAGGATTCTCTTACAGGTTTCAGAGGGAGAACATCTCTGCCAATACCTACATTTCTGACTTCTAGCCTCGATAACTGGGAGACAATAAATTCTGTTGTTTTAAGCCACCCAATTTATGATATTTTGTTACAGCAGTCCTAGGAAACTAATACACCCTCTAAAGCACTGTTTCGTTTCATCTCATACATATTGGTATGCTGTATTTACATTTTCATTCATCATCTTGGAATTTATTCCTGGACCCATTGGTTATTTAGTAGTGTGTCATTTAATTTTTAGGTGTTTGTGAATTTCTCAAATTTTCTTCTATTATTTATTTTTAATTTCAATCTTTTGTGATTGGAGAACATCCTTTATATTATGTCAGTGCTTTTAAATTTATTGAGACTTGCTTTGTGGCTTTATATGTGGCCTATTGTGTACAATACACGACATGCACTTAAGTAGAAAGTGGATGCTCCACTTGTTGCATAAGGGATTCTATAGATATGTTAGTTTTAGGTTTTTTAGAATGTTGTCCTCATCTTCTATTTCATCGTTGAACTTCTTTCTAGTTCTGTCCTTTATTAGAAATGGAATATTGGAATCTCCAACAATTCTTCTTGAATTGTCTATTTCTACCCTCAATTATGTCAGGTTTTACTTTATGTATTTTGCAACTGTGGTGTTAGGTGAACATGTGTTTATAATTGTTTGATGGATTAAACTTTCTACAACTATGAAATGACTTTTTGTATCTCTGGTAACATTTTATCTTAAACTTTATTTTGTCTGATATTAACGTAATTACTGCAGCTAGTACTGTTTGCATGCCATTTCTTTTCCTATCCTTTTACTTTCAACCTAGTTTTGCTTGAATTTAAAGTGTGTCTGTGTAGACAGCATATAAATGTACCAGTATTTTTGTTTTTATCCATTCTGCCGATCTCTCCCTTTTAGAGTACTCAATTCACATTTACCGTTTAATAAACGTTTCAGACTTAAGTCTACTATTTGCTGTTATTTTCTGTATGTTAAATCTTTTTGTTCCTCTCTCCCTTCATTACTGCTTTTTTTGTATTAAATAGGTATTTTCATCTATAATGTTTTAATTTTTTGCCATTTTTTCAACTCTATTTTTGAGTTATTTCCTTAGTAGTTTCTCTGCGGATTATTGGAGTGAATATATTAACTTATAACAATCTAGTTTTGATTAACACTAACTCAATTTCTCTTCTATAACTCTGTTATTCCCCCTCTCTTTTGTACTGTTCTCATATGATTGCATATTAATACACTGTGTGTTTGTTAAAATTGATATATAATTACTGCTTTATACAGTTGTGCTTAAGATAAGGGAAATAATGTTACAAAAAAAGTATATTTATACTTTTTTTTCTTATTAACCTATTTGGTCGTCTTACCAGTGTTATTTATTTCTCCATGTGAATCTGAGTTACTATTTAATGTCTTGTCATTTCAGACTGAAGGTCTCCCTTTGATATTTCTTAAAGATAATTGGCTATTTACGAATTATCTCAGTTTTTAATTTTTTTGGAATATATAAATGTCTTTGTTATTTTTAAAATATAATTTGCTGGATATAGATCTACTGGTTTGCTGTTTGCTTTCAGTACTTTGACTATGTCATCTTACTCTCTTCTGTTCTCCAAAGTTCTGATAAGAAATCTGCTGTTAATCTTATTGAAGATACCTTTTCATGTGATGAGTTGTTTTTCTCTTGTTGCATTCTATATTCTTTCTTTGTCTTTCAACAGTTTGGTTTTGTGTCTAAATTTAAATGTCCTTGAGGATTTTATTTTTTCTATTTGGAGATGTTTGCACTTCTTGGCTATGTAGAGTAATTTATTTCATTAAACTCCAGAAGTTTTCGACCATGATTTCTTCAAATATTCTCTCTATCCTTTTCTCTGTCTCTTCTTTTGATTCCCATTATGTTTATGTTGTCCCACAGGACTCTGAGGCTCTGTTTAGTTTCTCTTTATTCATTTTTCTTTCTGTATCTTAGATGGGATAAGCTAAAAGTATTTGTCTTCAAGGGGACCAATTATCTTTCTGCCAGCTCAAATCTGCTGCTATTTTTCTTTAATGTTTTAATGTACTTATTGTAATTTCAACTCCATAATATCCATTAGTTTTTGTGTGCATGTATGCATGTTTTTTATTTATATTCTCTAAAAAATTACCTTAGTCTCTTTTTAACTAGTTCAGATGATGGAGTATTTTATGACCAAGACGTTTGTCAAAATCAATAGAGTAATCAGCCTGTAATGAGAGCAGCCTAACAAGTGGGTGGTATATTAATTGAGGCAGACAGCTTAACATAGAGACCAGAAAAAGAGGCAATTGAGCAGAGCGCTGCTAAGATTATCACTGTCGCTCTTCCGCCGCCATTTTAAATCCAGCTCCACACAACGCTCCGCCGCCGCTGATGCCGCGACCCGGACTGCGCGCCAGCACCCCCCTGCCGACAGCTCCGCCACTATGGAGGATATGAACGAGTACAGCAACATAGAAGAATTCGCAGAGGGATCCAAGATAAACGCGAGCAAGAATCAGCAGGATGACGGTAAAATGTTTATTGGAGGCTTGAGCTGGGATACAAGCAAAAAAGATCTGACAGAGTATTTGTCTCGATTTGGGGAAGTTGTAGACTGCACAATTAAAACAGATCCAGTCACTGGGAGATCAAGAGGATTTGGATTTGTGCTTTTCAAAGATGCTGCTAGTGTTGATAAGGTTTTGGAACTGAAAGAACACAAACTGGATGGCAAATTGATAGATCCCAAAAGGGCCAAAGCTTTAAAAGGGAAAGAACCCCCCAAAAAGGTTTTTGTGGGTGGATTGAGCCCGGATACTTCTGAAGAACAAATTAAAGAATATTTTGGAGCCTTTGGAGAGATTGAAAATATTGAACTTCCCATGGATACAAAAACAAATGAGAGAAGAGGATTTTGTTTTATCACATACACCGATGAAGAGCCAGTAAAAAAAATTATTAGAAAGCAGATACCATCAAATTGGTTCTGGGAAGTGTGAAATCAAAGTTGCACAACCCAAAGAGGTATATAGGCAGCAACAGCAACAACAAAAAGGTGGAAGAGGTGCTGCGGCTGGTGGCCGAGGTGGTACGAGGGGTCATGGCCGAGGTCAGGGCCAAAACTGGAACCAAGGATTTAATAACTATTATGATCAAAGATATGGAAATTACAATAGTGCCTGTGGTGGTGATCAAAACTATAGTGGCTATGGCGGATATGATTATATTGGGTATAACTATAGGAACTATGGATATGGACAGGGATATGCAGACTACAGTGGTCAACAGAGCACTTATGGCAAGGCATCTCGAGGGGGTGGCAATCACCAAAACAATTACCAGCCATACTAAAGGAGAACATTGGAGAAAACAGGAGGAGATGTTAAAGTAACCCATCTTGCAGGATGACATTGAAGATTGGTCTCCTGTTGATCTAAGATGATTATTTTGTAAAAGACTTTCTAGTGTACAAGACACGATTGTGTCCAACTGTATATAGCTGCCAATTAGTTTTCTTTGTTTTTACTTTGTCCTTTGCTGTGTTATGACTCAATGTGGATTTGTTTATACACATTTTATTTGTATCATTTCATGTTAAACTTCAAATAAATGCTTCCTTATGTGGAAAAAAAAAAAAAAAAAAAAAGATTATCACTATCTCAGAGTGATTGTGCACATGCCCAATGTTGTGACCTCTCAGGACAGAAAAGAAAGGCTGCAGACTACATGATAACATACTTCACTAAAATAGCCCAGACAAATCACAAAACTAATAAAAAGGCAAAGAACAAGGATCAAAAGACCCTGGGGGTGGAGGAAACACAGTGAGGAAGAGAGTAAGTAAACATAGTTGCTATATTACATACCTACAATTTAGAATTTTCAAGAAAAGTGAAATAAAATTATGCTTAAATAAGTAATAGAAGCTATAATGACAATGTCTCACCAAATACAGAATATCAATAAATAATCAGAAATTATAACAAAAGAATCAAGTAAAAATTCTAGAGCTAAGATGTATAATTACTGAAATAAAAAATTCATTAGAGAGTCTCAACAACAGACTTGACAGAAGAAAGAATTAAGAAACTCATACAGTTTGGATTTGTGTCTCTGCCCAAATCTCATGTCTAATTCTAATCCCAAATGTTAGAGGTGGGGCCTGGAGGGAGGTGATTGGATCATAAAGGCAGTTTCTCATGAACGGTTTAGCACCATTCCCTTAGTGCTGTTCTCCTAATAGTGAGTGAGTTCTCATGAGATCTGATTATTTAAAAGTGTGTGGAACCTCCCCCTCACCCTCTCTTTCTTCTATTCTGACCATGTGAAGTGCTGGCTTCCCCTCCACTTTCTGCCATGATTGTAAATATTCTGAGGCGTCCCCAGAAGCCAAGGAGATGCTACCATGCTTTCTGTACAGTCTGCGGAACTATACGCCAATGAAACCTCTTTACTTTATAAATTATACAGTCTTGGGAATTTCTTTATAGCAGTGTGAGAAAGGACTAATATACAAACTTGAAAATAAGTCTATAGAGATTATATAATCTGAAGTACAGAGAAAGACAAAAATGAAGATAATTTAACATTTTCAGACAAATGTGAGACACCCTTAAACACATGAACATACACTTTATGGGGGTACCAGAAGAAAAGGATAAAGATAAATTAGCAGAAAAAATATTTCACAAAATAGCTGAAAACTTTCATAATTTGATTATAAGAACGTTAATCTATACATCTACAAAACTTACCAAACTTCAAGTAGGTTGAACTCAAGGAGATCCACACCCAGATGCCCTACAGCAAAAGTGACATAATGACAGAGACAAAAAAATGTAAGAGCAACAAGAGAAAAAATAATTCATGATATGCAAGGAAACACTAGTTAACATTAATAGCCATTTTCTCATTGGAAACCTTGGAGATTAGAAAGCAGTCTAGTCTAGCAGAGATAACATATTCAAAGTGCTGACAGTAAAAAATTCTCAAACAAGAATCTCATGTATAACAAAAATACCTCTTCAAAAATAAACACAAAATAAATATATTCTAAGACAAACAAACCCTGACAGATTTCATTGCTAGTAGACCCGCCTTACCAGTAATATTAGAAGATTTTCAGGTTGAGAGAAAGTGACTACAGATGGAAATTTGAATCCACAGTAAGAAAGAAAACATAAAAGTTATTACATAATTATAAAAGACTGTATAAATGAAACTTATTTTCTTTCTGCCTTTAACTGATTTAAGAAGCACTTGTATACCGTATTTATATAGGTGTATTACAGGTCTATGACATACAGAAAGGTGATATATTTGACAATAATAGTACAAAGGAGGTGTGTGAGAGCAATTTTGTACTGAAGTAATAAAATGACAGCTTACATAGTAATTCAATATCAGAGGAAAAATGAAGAAAACCACAAAGGGTTAATAATAAGGTAAGTATGACAAACTGTAAGTATTTAATTACTTCTTTTCTTTTTCAGATTATTTAATGTATATAAAGTTATATAAAGAATTACCTGTGACTATATATTGCTGTTATATTTAAGTATTCTACATATAATAATAGCAAAAAGTGGGAAGAAGTTATAGAGCTATTTAAGAGTAGTAATTCTATACCTCAGTGGAATTAAATTAGTGTGATGCTAAAATAGTCTCCAATAAGTTTTACATAGTAAGCCCTAGAGTCACTAGTATGAAAATAACTCAAAAATATAGTAAAACAAACCATTAAAACAATTTGTTACACTAAAAAAATATTCATTTCATGGAAAATAAAGGAATAATGGATGTATAAAGGAAGAAAAAGATATGAGGTATAGAGAAACAAAAAGTAAAATGACAGACATAAATCGAACTATATCAACAATGATGTTAAATGTGAATGGATTAAGCAATCTAATCATAAGATAAAAATTCCCAGACTGGATTAAAAAAATAAAACAATGCCATTAGGTGATTTCTATAAGAAACAAAATCCAAAGTTGCAAAGAGATTAAAAGGAAAAGGTTGGAAAAACATATATTAAGGAAACAACAATTAAGGGAAAACCTGAGTGGCTTATATAAAAAAAATTAGACTTCATAAGAAAAAATGTTACTAGGGATAAAGTGGGATAATGAATAATAATGAAGTAAACAGTGTTCTACATAATATAACAATTACAAATATCAGTTCACCTAATGATGGAATCTCAAATTCTGTGAAGTAACTGAATCAAAAGAAGAAACAGGTAATTAAACAATGATTTTTAGGGATTTTAATCCTTAACTTTAAATAATGGATAGATAACTAAGCCTAGTATAAAAACAGAAAATAGACCTGAACAACATTATACACCAACCAGACCTAACAGATATGTATAGAATATTTCACTCAACAGCAGTAGAATATTTATTTTCTCAAATGCACATAGACATTTTCCAGGATATATAATATACTGGGTCATAAAGCAACTCCCAATAAATGTAAAAAGATTGAAATGATGTAAAATATTTCCACATCTTCTGCTCTGTATACCTTTCTTTCTGTAGTCACAGCTTGAACCCACTGCAAACACCATTAATTCTAACTTCTATCTCCTCAACTCAACATGACCACAAGCCTCTGCTTGGGTTCTTACTCCTTGAGCTGTGGTCCCGAATGTGCTGGCTCCAAGCAGAAAGATAGGCAGTGATAATGGTATCCACATTAGTTTCCCTTTACTGAGGCATGACAGTCTTGTGCTGCCTCTGTACAAATGGAAAACAATTTTAAATACAGTATTTTGTTCATTTTCCTATTTTTTTATGGTGAACTAGCAAGTTTAGTCCTCGTTACTCTATTGCAGCTAGAAGTGGAAATATTTTAACTGTGTTTTTGTCATATTTTTGCTTTCATAATATTTTGAATGTTTATATAGTTAAATGACTACATTTTCCTTTATAATTTGTGCTTCCTCACTCTTCTTAAAGGAACTATCCCCTATCTAGAGACCAGAAAGTGTTTTTCTACATAAATTTCAAGTGTGTTGAAGATTTTGTTTTACATGGTCAGGTTTTTAATCTATATAGAATTTCATTTTTTTCCACTTGGTGCAATCTAGAGATCTAATATTATACATTCCTATAAAGAAAGAATAATTACTCCCAAACTTAGTAATGAATTATCCTTTCTTTTCCACTAAGTTTTCGTGCCACTTCTATCAACTACTTTTTAAGTAAAGAGAGTAATATAATTTCAAAAAGAAAGAAGGAAGGAAAAAGGAAGACCAAAACATAAAAAAATACTGAAGTGAAATTCCTTTTCACACTTCTTCCAAACTTCCAATAATATAGCACAGAAATAAACACTCATAAAATTATTCCCTATATTTCTAAAAAATTTGTATGTATACTTTAGTGTTATTTTCAGAACAAATTACATAATTCTTTGTTAGGGCATATAGTATATCTTGCTTCTGTGATCTAAATTAATTTTTGACCTAATCTAAGGAAATAATAACTATGAAATATCTGTTTTCAAATTTTCTAATTTGTTTTCTAATTTTATATAGTTTCCTTATATAATCACTTCTGCCAATTGTGCATAAATTGCCCATGTCTTTGATAGAACATTGCTTATTTATTTGAGGAACTCATGTTTCCGAAGATGCAGAAAAGCTCGTATCAGATAGAAAAAGGATTAATTATACGTTATTGCAATTAATTCTGAGTATTTGGGGTTGCATGTTAAAATGGGAAGTTGTGAAATTTTCTTTGTCCATGACAATCCCATTCTGCAATCCAACAGATTATAGAAGGATATTCTGATTTCATGCCACCAGGTTCCTTACCAACATCTGAGCTTTCTAACCAATGGAAAGCAGTTGCAAAGCTTTGGGATATCTTGTCCCAGCTTTGTCTGAGGCTTAATTGTATATGTATATATTCCACATTTGCCATTCATTGCTTCACTTTCTAAGATCAAATTATTTTTTACTAATCATTACTTACAGTAGATATTATATAAAAATTAAGAGGCTAATTAACCTGCTCAAAGTTATACAGTCACGTAAATGGTAAGAGCCAAAATTTGAAACAAGAATATCAGATTTTGTACATAATTATTTTTTACCACACCATAATGACTTAGTCAGTCTTACCCCATGTAACATTTAATATATTGTTTTCTACATATTGTATTGTCAAATAGGTTTGACTTAAGAATAATGTTTAAAAATGAAACATAGAGAAGTGCTCATAACAATATTCCCTTTGGGTGATGGTTTTGAATGAGGATTTATAGTAATATTGTCACACCAATTGAATGATTATGTATATATAGATAAGACATGTGAATTGGATATGAACCAGAGTTTTATTAGGAAAAATATTTTACTCCATACATATAACTGCCAAAGGCACATCTAAGAAGTATTCAAGTTACATGCTATATTGAAAATATTTTGGAGTTAAAAAAATCTATTAAAGAAATTGATACTATGATTATTTTGAAAGTTTTCTGTGTGATGTTTGACTTTGTAACATGTTCTATCTCAGATCTTTAATATTTTCTTGAATTGTAATGTTCTATAACATATTTTCTCATCTAAAACAAAATGAGAAAATGCATTTCAAAGGGAAAAAGTGGAATAG